TCCGACAAAGGAAGAAAAGATCATGGTATGAGAAAGGAGATTCTGTGACTTGGAAAAGCACTGAGCAGGGCAATAACCTTTCCCTAGATGAGTTGCCATTGGTACATCGTACTTTCTGAACTTGTCACTACCCACTTCACTATATTGGCCAACTTTCTCTGAACCTACTCCTAACTTCAACATATTTGCATATATTCCCTGTCCAAAGGAAACGACACAAGAAACACCAGCTTTCGACCCCACCATTGTTGTCCATTATGCGAGTTCCTGTGCTTAAACATGGTTCTTTTGCTTCTTTCGTGCATGAAAAGTAAAGGCCAGGAAACGACACGACATTCATAAATTAAGTAATGTGTTCGAGAGACTATTTTGTATACATGCGGCTTCTTGTTTTCGTTTGGTTGGGTCGCCCACTTGATGAATCACTTAAGTTGGGTTAGTAGGCAAATTAATTAGGTTGCTTTAATTAGCTTTCACTTAGTTTACTTTGATGATTTTGCTTAGCTCTCCACTACTAGCTATCACGTGAAAGTTTATGCTCATTGGTGGGTAAGCATATCAGCAAAAGTTGGGAAGGGCATTGTCAAATTCAAAGGTGGAACACATATACTATGAGATTTGATAATTTGAATATCAGAAAATTAGTTTTTTACAATAAATCGAGTATGCGTATGTTCAAACGAAAACCAACTCATAAACTAGTCATTTGTATGCTCACAATTAACAATAACCGTTTCAATCATATGAGCATGGTAGAGATTCAAATTAACATGAGATCCCTCAGCATTATAACTTATAAGGGTTCTAATGCCACTTATGAAGAACCAATTCATTAAAATAACTCCTTCACTCTCTATTGTCGAATTCACCAACTACCAAATTATTCCAATTCAAATCATATTGGACCAATGTTAACTCCTAGACACTGGCTTATGAGACCTAAGATTAAGCTGAATAAATCATTACATCTCAAAATAGTTGGATCTACATATAGTTAAGAAGAAACTACATGAAGTCCAGAAAGGACGACTATAACACCTCTCCTCTCAATACTTAATATGAAAACTGACGGCAAAAATTGGAGAAGTATTTTAAATAGTGTTTATACTTCTCTGTAATTTGTATCTTTTCGAAGTATAGTGAAACTGACTCTCTCTTGCCCGTGCACTAGCTAGCACACATTATATTAGTGAACCACTTAAATCACATGTTGTATTTATTCTTGTTTTCGTTTTCTGATTTTATCGAATTCTAATATTTCTCAATGCGCAGAGAAACAGTTGTGAGAGAAAACATACTAGATATCAAGCTATGCATTAGCTCCTCTCCAAAACCTTGATTCAACCCTAAAAACTATATTAATTGTTTATTTCCCCCCTACTCTATTTCTTGATTTCCGCAATCTCAAGAGTAAAGACACAACCAATTAAAAAGTTTAAAAAGCTTATCACTAACGAAACCCACTCTAACTATGTCTGCCTTCAACTCAATTCACTTACCCAATTGTTTTAGTGCACTTTACTCAACCACTCAACCGTGCATAGAGATTCCACTATATATATACACTAGATAATTGGCCCGCACTTTGCGGCGGTTACCGAAAGATATACTGGGAAAGTTAGTGAAATGTATTTTGTACTAAAATCGTACTGAAAATTATACTGAAAAGTTAGTGATATGTATTTTGTACTAAAATCGTGGTTGAACCGTGATTCAAATATATATACCAACAAAACTATAAAGCTTAGGCTTAAATTGCATATGTTGATCAGTGTTCTCTTGTACATTCTGAACAAAGATTTGATTACTAATAACTTACAAAAAAAACTACATATATGGTGAAATCATCGTCAGTAAATATAAACAAACTTACATGATTAAACATCTAGAAATAAAAAGCTTGATAGTCCCAAATGAATTAGAATAAAATACTTTTCTTCCACCAGTGCTTTGAACATCTACACCTTTTATGAACAACTCGCGGAGTTCATGTTGATGTAGAAATATCATACATGAGTTAGAAGGAAATATTTTTATTCCACCAGTTCATTCACGTGATCACAGGTGTAATATATCTCATTATAATGGGAAGCTAATTACAAAATACGTTCTCCATTTGTTGTTCAAGAGGCTCCAAAGTGAACCTTGTGCATTCAAACTAAAACCGACATATTTGTACAACGGCAAGCTCTTGACTAGTGAATAGCTTTACCAAACATAAAATTCCGGTAGTTCGATGGAAAATCAAGAATTTTAACTTCTCTATACCTTTGCATCCAATACTTATGAAGCAAAGTTATTAATAAGTTGCTTCCATATTCTACCGGGAAAAAAAATCCCTACTACCATGGGTATAACTTTTTCAAAGTTGTACATTAATCGAAACAACAACGTGAGATATCTAAATTAATTTATTTAAACCAACTATAACCAAATTACAACCTTATTCTTCCTCTTACAAATTGAGCAAATTTAAAACACTGCCCTTGCAATCCGCTATAAGATAGAACCATCAACATATGGGATTCATTCGAGAAAAGAAATATCATATAAAAATTCTTTGAAACCTTTATAATTGGATAAGATCATCCTAAATTTGTCAATACAATTCCCACTAACATGTTGCTTTAACTTTCAAAAATTATTTGTGTTTTCTTTATGTATGTATTTATTTGTTTATAAGTGTGCTGAATTTTATTAATACTTTATTGTATTTTATATATTATAGTTATTATTATATTAATCCCCTTGTTTTGTTACCAGAAACCTCCCCTAGTACAAACCCGTGACATCAATCGCTTCCCTTCCATTATAGGAAACTTGGAAAACTATAAGCTTCATGAAGTTGTAAAGGAAATGAAGGTATTGGAAGACATGAGAGCGGATTGGTGAAAAGAATTATAGAACGATCGACAACCTACTATATATGGTGTGTAATCTTAGATCTCCATTTACCTAATTCGACATAAACCATTTTTTTATAGTCAATTAAGGTGGAGTGAAACCACGCAAGAACCCCAATCTTATTCCCATTATAGGCCACGTAGCAATTCCTTGCTCTACAAATGGATAGATGTCCATTGACACTTGGCCGCATAACTTCCATTCCCTTGCATGTTGCCTCTGATACTTGGGCCGTGAGAAGGAAGACTGGAAGATATATAATAACATAATGTATCCCATCTTCAATCGAGATGCAATTCATAATTTCGATCCATTCCATTGCATGTTCCCTCTCTAGTAATTCAACCACTGCTTGCCTAGCCGCCAATCGGACCATCCGAGGAAAAGGGTGAAGAAAGGAGGGAAGGAGTGAATAACAGGATCACAGTTGCCGCTTGTCTGTGAATTGGGGTATGCTTCTCATATATCCTCGGGGGAATCGAAGATGGAAGTAAAAGACTACTTGCCTAGTCGCCAATGGTCATCGGAGAGAAAGGTCGAAAATTCTCGGGATAGAAAAAGAGGATGTACATATGGTATACTAATGAAAGGCGTACCAGAGATGGGGATGCGAACCCAATTAATGCACCCTCTTCTCTTATAGGAAGCTTTTTCCTTCAATCGCAGAATCAGCTAAAGGTAAGATGGAAACAGGAGAGGAAGGGATGGGTGAAACTCGGCACCGGTGGAAATTCGGGCAACCACCAATGGGTCTGTGCGTAGTCGTTCACGCTAGCTGAATTAAAATAGGTTAAAACTTTGGGTAATCACCAGTCCTATGACGTAGGGAAGACACGGGAGAAGGAAGAATATAACCTAGCACGGATAAAAAGGGTGCACAGATTCTTACGGTGGACCTGTGCGTAGCCCACCAGACCCCTTAGGTGAGAACATGGGTTAGTGAATTGCGGACTGGGGTTCACCCAGGTTAGGAAATATATTTTAGGTGAGAACCACTATATATATTTTGTCTTGCCTTGGTATCATTTTTTTCTATTTTCAGAACAGTTTCTTAGTATCTTTTACACCATTCCAAAATTTCATTGTTTAATCATAGATGTACATTTAAGTATGCCACTAGCACATCTTTACACTTTCTCTTTGTGATTCAATACGTGTAAGACGCCCAAGGATAACAATCTTTTATGTTGCTTGCAAACCATTATTAATAGAGTATTGATAAACAATGGTCCTTTTGCACTTAGTTATTACATGGACAATGATTACATATTTGTCAAGTGCATTTATGAAGTGTAGGCAAGTTATAACTCACTTCATAGCGTTGCCCACTTATATGACAAACAATACTCTTTCATTGGTAGTTCGGTTGCACTCGAATTATCACTTGTGGTTCTTGTTAGTCTTGTTATTGTGTTGCCCGACCATGCTATTTGAGCTTATCTTGGATAAAGAAAAAGTTCCGGTGGTAACTCACTTCATCTTCATGAATGTTGGCACAGACTGAAACACCATAGTGGATACCTGTTTGCCATAAACCAAAGATAAATTTATGTTGGATACTCGATTTCTGTTTATGGAAGTATGACAAACTTCGTGTCTAGTTAATAAAACAGAAATTGGACACATGTTAACAAATTAGCTATCTGACTGGTGTTCTTCGGAACTTGATGGGATGTTGATGCCATTTCCATCTAGAAGTTCAAAGTTCAAAACCAGCAACAAACAACATAAACATGCATCATCAACCAAAACCAATCAATTAATCTTCTAATGGGTAATTTGTATGTCACTCTCGCTCTTATCAGTACTCTAACATCTAGACTGCCTTGTCGAAACTCTAGAATGCCGCTTCCTTCATCAAGGCAGCCAAATTCGTGACCAAACGGTCACGAGTTCGAGCACTACTATCATATGTTCTTCCTTAACCAGATCGATAATGGCTCTCCGGCGATTGTAGCTATCAATGGAGTGGTGGCTTTAGGGTTAATCAAGTCTAGTCACGATGACACGGCACTCTTGCATCTCTCCATCGTTGGGATGATAGCGAATTGAATTACGGCAGCAGGTTTCCGCAACTGGCCAAGAAAAGCACAGACGTAGAGATGGAAGGTACGTAATGGAGTATAGTAGTAGCAAAGTAGGACCCTCCCACCAAGTGTTCGACGAATTGCGTAGGACAAACATGAAGCTCAAAATACGACAAATGAAGCTCTCTCTCAATTATTGTCTTTCCCACCTCTCCTCCCCTGCTTCTCGTACCTTCTGCTCAGTAAAGATGAAATCTTTTCGTCCAGGATTCGATTAATGGCTCGTCATCTCAACTACCCAAAAGTCTCAATCGATACAATTATTCAATTTGAACCCCGGAATCTGCCTGTATCATCCCATCAGCTTTAATGGTGGGGGAAAAGCTTCGATGGGTTATCGAATTCCTTCCCTACCTCCCCCAGCTGCTTGTCAACAGAGGACAGACATGGGACAAATTCTTACAATTCTACAACAGAAATTACATTACATATACATCAGCGAGTAGGGTACGGTTGAATCGAATGTTCATTTGCAGAGCTGGTTCAGCAAGCTCTGTTCCTGCTGCTGCTGCTGGATGGTGCAGTTGATGAGAGAGCATGAACGAATGGCCTCTCCTGCTAGCGGAACTACAGGGAGATTATCGCAGTTGCAGATTTCAATCATGGAGCCATTTGGGTCGTGGAAGAATATCTGATCGACGTAGATTCCTCCTTCCTCTACCCTGCCTTTCACGTACTCGATCTCCATATCCTTCAGCTTCTTCTCCACCATCGCCATGCTCTCGCACTGCACAAATTTAGAAGAAAAAAACCGAAAATCAATTAGCCTCTGTTTTTTACAATTTCTTGATGGAAATGTCAAATTGAGAAATTTGGGGGAAGGGGGTGACGAACTTGGAATGAGATGTGGTTGTCTTTAGGGTTGATTTCGCTGATCTTCGGCATGCTTTCTGGGTCTTCGGACTGAAGCAAATGGATTCCGATTCCGTAACCAAACAGCCTGCAGAAAAACAGAGACCCAAAATCAAAACAGAGCCCTCTGTTTTTTCTTCTTCCAAAGTCTCAAATTGGGGGGGAAAGTTTGAAGTACCAGGCGCCGTCGAAGTCGAAGGAGCCAGGGCGGCGGATGGGGAAGAAGCCAAGGACGTGCTGGTAGAAATCGAGGGATTTCTCGACGGATCGACAGACGAGGGAGATGTGATTCAGCGATTTGAGCTGCAGAGGGTTGTTCATTCCCATGCCCATTACGATTCTTCTCACTTTCCAATTTCGGAACTCTTGTTATGGAAGAAGGGGGAGTTGGGAAGTGGGAATTGCAGAAGGGAAGTAAGAGGGAGATTGATGGCAGAGATGGTGGTTGTGGAGTGTTGTAATGGCGGTATATATAGGGGGAAAAAACAGATGTTGCGAAGAGGCAGAGTGACTAAGTGAAGAGGTGGAGGGATAAGAATTTGGAAGTGGCCAACTTGAGGAAAGAGATGCAAATATCTAACCATTGATTACCTCGTTATTTTGGAGAGTTTAGTATCGGTTCAACTATGTAACCTAACCACTATGAAACAAAAGTGGTACCCTCTAGTCTAATCATAACAAGGTAGTATCTAGGGTGTTTGGGTTTGATGGAGGAATGATCTTTGTCCTAGTGATTAGCAATTCAAAAGATTACGTGAATGATTTGTTTAAACCTTTCGATATAAAGAATGCTTGAAACATTGTCGAGGATGTACGTCAATGATGTAAGTTCGACAATTGTGCTATCGACAAAGCTCAAGAAAGGAGTCGCTTTCCTTCGATGTCCTCCTGTACGCCAAAATTAAAACAATTGAATCTTGCATCTCTCACAAAGAACCTTGGTGTCTCGACACATGCCAGGAACTCCGATCTTCGAACTGGTTGTGAAGAGACGTCTAACGATTTTTGTAACTCATGAAACAAAGATATGATTAGGAGTCACTGCGAGCAAAAGGTCATGGGGGGATCTGAGATAATAGTGACGAGAATCATGAGCTTGAAGGCACAAAGCTGTAGCAACTTCGATCCTCGCGTCTAAGGAAATTTTATAACCATTGGAAGTGAACCCCTCTACCTCCCGTTATAAAACCAACTTATATGATAAAGTAAAAGATACGTCCTCTCCGCCGCACATTATCATCTTAGATTCATCACATTTGACTTGTTCGTTGGAGGATATGAATCCAAACTTCAACACCAGCGCAGGGATCATGCTAATCTTCTAGATTCGCCACCGGTTAGCTCGAGCCTTGATGCACCTGGATCCGTAGCTTCTCCCCTCTCAAGTTCCTTCTGGTTCAACTCATGCTTGGATCTGAATCTCCTCAAAGAAGCTGACCTCCTCTCTCTTTACCATTCAAGGCCCAACGAAACTAGGCTAGAAATGGGACTTACTCTTTTGTTGAATCATTGTTAATTTGTTTTTTCTTAATATAGTTATACTCATAGGTTCAATCTAGGTAAGATGTTCGATATTAATCGCATTTTAGACTTTTAGATTCAAGTAAGAGCTCAAACTTATGGACACGACAAATATACATCCACGAATTCTAAAAAAAATTTCTTTACAAATCGATCAAAATGAAGTTGAACATTAAGTTTAACAAATGAACCTATCTCCGAATCCAACTCGTTAAAAGAACATAAACATCCCTAAGCCCAAACCAAAGTCTCTCCCCAATCCCCAAACTTTCATCTCTTTTTCTATCTCCCTAGAATCTCTCCAGCGGCCCTCCAAACGTCTCCTTCGCCGCCGGCGACACCTTCTCCCCTCACAGTCCACGGTCGCCGCCGCCGCCACCTACTCCTACTACTCCCTCTGTTAATGCCTCCACCACAATCCAACAACACGCACATGCTGAAAAGTAAAATCTCTTCATAGAGTGAAGCCCATCTTTGATTTCGCACGTGATGGAAAAACATTAAATCCTCTCTCTCTGGCAAATCAAACCCATTAGCAAATCGTGTTCCATTTTCTCTTCTTCGTTTCATGGAAGGGGACGTACGATAGTCAGGTGGGCGGTCGGTCAGGGGATTAGATAGAGACTGACGAAAGTTTCCGTCCACGTAGATTCCACGTTGATATGGAATCCAATATAACAGCTTAGTTACCGGTTGTTAGGTCCGACCCGACGGCCGACCCCACCAAGTCATTTCTTTGTTTTAGTATTGCTAATCAAAGATTGTACATATATACACTCTTTGTTATAAAAACAAAACAAAAAAACTAATTACAATATACTTAAATATAACTGGGTACTTATAAATTTTATATGACCTATTTTGACACATAGCGTATAAGAGAGGGAACGGTACGTAGGGAGAACTCATGTGGTCTATTAGTTATGTAGTCGCCTCTTTATCGTGGAGTGGCTTCTTCTCTCGATAGTCAAGTCGCTCGATGAGCTGGGAGTTTGAAGGAGAAATACGAGTAGAATTAGGGTTTGTTACTGTGCAAGGATATAATGCAACATCTATGTGTCGCTCAATACCAAATTATTCTACATTTCCAGTCTAAAATACAGATTGTACTAGGTCTCGAATACTAATATTGTCTATCAAAACTATTGTCTCTTATACCTCGTTCTTTCTACTTTGCCACAAACTTAACGAAGAGGTTCTAGACTTTGGAGAACCTCTTCATAATCTTCATAATTACTTTGATTGAGCTATTTGAACCTTGTGTTTTTTTATTTATTATGGCTCAAGAGATTTTCAAATTTGTAATTAATGTAAATTTAGTCTAAAAAATTCAAAAGGTTAGGCAAAATTTTCTCGAAGGCCCATCGATCAAATTTGTGATTTGACATGTCATTGTTTGTTGTATTGTATGGAGTAGAGTGGATAGTTTATTGCCCAAACTCCATTATTTATTGTGACATATAGTAAGTTAGTAATGTCACACTTGCCGTGATAAGAGTTGTACGTTATTAATTTTATCATAATTAAATCCACCATTTGTCCACTATGAGTTTAAAGCTCGTATTATATCACTTTTTAATTATCGTATATTAATATTGACTATGCACACGTAGCCAATGGAGAAGAAGAAGACAAACTCCTTTTACACATGTTGCATTGTTGATGGACCTATCTATTAATTTCTATTCAGAGGTTCAATTGTCATTTTCTTTGGGATGCCCCTACCAAGGTATCGGTTAGCATGCTAACCCTTCTAAGGGGTTGGAAAAATGACACCCCTATTAATTATAGTTATTTTTTGTATTAAATTCGTGTTGCATTTAATAATCTTTGAAAATTAAAAACTCATCTTAATTACATTCTTTTTTTTTAAATACCATTGTACTGATACAACTACCATTTCACCTGTATACTGAACTCGTATTAATTACGTTCCTTTTTTGGAACTACCATTGCACTGATACATCTACCATTGCACTTGTACACTAATACCATTGCACTGATACAACTACCAGTGCACTGGAAAAAGGAAAGTAATTAATATGTGTTTTTAATTCATACAGATTATTAAATGCAACACAAATTAATTACCTTAAAAACCTATAATTAATAGGGGGTGTCATTTTTCCAACCCTTTTATGTGTAGGCATGCTATCTCATCCCCTACCAAGCATTTTTTGTTTTTCCTTTTGTCATCATATGTGTAACTAGGGATGCCAAAAATTATATCCATCGTTGTGGTTACTCAATCCAACTCGAATAAATTTTGACATCAAAATTCAAATGATATTATTTTTGGTGGTTTTTCCCAAATCCCTCAAAGATTATAATGGGTTCGTTGTGGTTTTGGTATTTTAAGTATCTATACTGAACCCACCAGAATATGTGTTATAAATATGTTGTAGACTCATTTACTTTAACACTTCGATCATTGATATCACTACAATTTATAATTATCACTTAGATCTCAAATCTTACCCATACTTCAATTCGCATTGACATTTTAAGAAAAAAGATTAGAGTATATAAAAAAAATTCGTATATGGTTGTTCGAAGTGGTACGGGTGAGTTTTTCCCAAACTGCATACGGATTTGTTTTGATATGTCAGATTACATTCCCACACAATTTTGGTTACAAAGATGGCTAAGATTTTAAAATCGTGATTCTTGGATGGTATATATGAAAAACGACACCATCCAAACCCATTTTTATCCCCACATTACTATTAGCTCTTTTAGGTACTAAATTGTAAGAAAAAGTTTAGATACTACAAAACACATACAATTATTCCAATATTTAACTAGCAATGTAAGATAATAAAAAAATCCCTCTCAATGGAAAAGCAAGAAAGAAATGGGGTCCTAAGAAGGATAAGTTGGCAAATTACAAATTTAAATGTAAAACCACTTTAACAATATTACTAATTGTAACTCATCCAAACGTGATGCATCTTACAAATATGATATCACATAGCACATAATTGATTCAGAATAATAAATATGAATAGTACTCAATCCAAATAAAATAAACCAATAAAAAGAACTCTCATCATGGGCATCTAATTTACCCGTGAGTTGCAATATGCAAGTCAAGTAGCCTGTTGATCTTGTTTGGGGATACGTTGATGAATCTAATACTAGCTAGTTCATCTACTATTAGTGCATGTACTTGGTGTAACTAATTTTCAACTCCAATGTTCAATGAACCTATTTAATACCTACACCTTTTTCTTTCCTTTGTTATTTATAGCTAAACTATATGGCAGGTGTTAGGTAAGAAATTTGGTTTTTTCTTTCTCTATGTGTATATTTGGACAAACTTCAAACACTCCTTCGATACTTTCTATTATTAGAGTTGAAATTGGGCCAGACCCGTCCTTAACTCGATTTGCAAGGCCAAATTATAAAATTGACCTATCTCCCCCATATTTTTTTCTTGATCATGTCTGATCCACTCGGGTTGAGCCAGCTGGTCGACTCAAATCAATAAACAAATTGATTGTTTGAAAATTAAACTTTGATACTCAAATTTATTTTTCTTACAATTTAGTATCTAACTTTATTTTTTACAAATGGGTCCAAATTTTTTTATGATAAAATTATGTTTTAGTACCTTTATATCTTTACCTTGCATTATATTACCTAAATCTTTAAAATTTTACAAACAGGTATAGTCCAATATGTGAGTACCCTATCTTCTTCGAGTTTCAAATCACTAGTTGTTGCTATGTATCACATGACCAAAAAGTGACAAAACTCTCTCGACCATACCCTACTCTTACATGGCCAAAATATGACCTAACACTAAATTGATCCTGTAGACAAACTATCCCAATTAGACCGGATGGATATATAGCCTATGTTTGGCCCGGCTTTTAGAAGTGTTTTTCGGCATCAAAAGCTGAAGTAGGGCCAAACACCTCTAAAAGCTCGGCTTTTGAAAAGCCGAAAAACGCTTTTGTATAACATAAAAGCAGAAGCTCCGATTTGGAGCTTCTGCGAAAAGCTGTTTTGAAAATACAAGATCATCCTTACCATATTTTAATTTTATTTCAGAAAATATAATTTTCCTTCATTTATATCATTTTAAAAATAAAATAAATTATAATATCATATTATTTAATATAAAAGAAATCTAACAAGATCCATTTTGACTACTTTCTATTGTTTAGAAATTTTATTCATATTTTATATTATAAGTCCTTTATAGTCATTTTACACAACCGCTCATATTAAAAAATACTTCTAATAGTTTTACAGTCAAACACTAAACAACTTTTTTTGAAAAGTATTTATCTAAAAGCTCCAGCCATAAACTGCTTCTGAAAAAAACTATAGCAGGACCAAACTAAGCTATAGAATCATGCTTACCGCCCTAATTCGTATAGCCTCTACTTGTTCCTTACTTTCTACAAATCTCGTGAGCGAAAATACAATCATTTGGGAGGGAGGTGGCCTGATGAGAAGCTCAGTCAGTGGTTTGACCCAGAGACCTGTAAGGCTATTAAAGCTATTCCTCTTCCGCGTAGGGATGTCCCTGATAAAAGGATCTGGCATTTTACGGAAGACGGGGTTTTCTCGGTAAAATCGGCTTACCATTTGGCTGTTGATTTGGACAGGAGGAGGGGTGGATGGCGATCCTCGGTTAGCTGGATGGATAAGTCGGGCTGGATTAGAGTTTGGGAGGCGAAGATCCCTCCGAAGTTGAAGGTTTTTGTTTGGCAAATTCTTAATCGGGCTTTGCCGACTACGGAGGCGCTTATTGAGAGAAAGGTTCAGGTGCTACCTCGGTGTCCAGTTTGTTGGGATGGCCCGGAGACGATGGAGCACTTATTCTTGTATTGTCCGGTCGCGCGGGCGCTCTGGGATTATTCTGGGCTGGAATACTTGGGGGAGGGTTTGCCTCGGCATACTTTTCCTTTGTTTCTCACTCGTCTTTTGGCTTTGATTCATCAACCGTCAGTGGTTATGGCTGTTGTTGCCATCCTTTGGAGGATCTGGCGATCTCGAAATTGGGTAGTCTTTGAAGGCAAACAATTTGGGATCCCAGCTCTCATGCGGCAATTTAACCAACAGTATGAGGAATGGATGGGTCTTCCAGCAGACCAGGCGCCTAGGGTGTCTATCCCGAGGATGCAACCTACAGAGACAGTGGGAGAGTCCCATTTGGTTTGCATGTGGGATGGGGCTACTAAGAGTGGGTCGCATTCGGCTGGTGGGATGGTTCTCTTTGGTCCAGCGCGGACTCTCCTTCTTGCTAGAGGGGTTCAATTCGCTCATTTGGATAATCCTGCAGTGGTGGAGTTGCTTGTGCTCAGAGATGCCATTATTTGGTGTGTGGAGCAAGGCTTGTCGGAGGTCCGTTTTGAAGGCGATGCGAAGGTGATTATTGACAAAATTAACCAAGCTGACCCCAGAGATAGCCGGCTGGGTGCTGTGCTGGAAGAGATTGGTCATTATTTCCGTACTTAGTCGGGTTTTAGTGTGCGTTTTGTAGGTCGGGAGAACAATAGGGTAGCTCATTTGGTAGCTAGGAAAGCCCTCTCTTTGTATCCGACTATGAGTCGCTTCTTTGATTTCCAGACCTGGCTGGTTTCCAGGGTGTAACTGTCTATTTTTTCGATCAATATATGATATCTTTTGACAAAAAAAAAATACAATCATTTGTATTTTTAAAAAAAAATACAATCATTCACATAACTGACAACAACGGATTACGAAAATCAAACTCTACCATACATACTCGTAGGAAAGAAGACGAAAAAAAGGTCTTAAAAACCCAGCTACCCAATTAATTAGTTAATTAATTAATTAACATGCGCATAATTAAATTAGAAAAGGAAAGAAATCCATATTTTACAATGCAGAACGGCATTACAAATACAACATTACTTACTCAATTATATACAATTAATCAATTTCTAACACTTTCCCAAGTAATTCCCTAAAAAAAAAAAACACTTTCCCAAGTAATATATATCTGCTAATCATCATCATGATGAAGTTGATGAATTCAGCGTGCTACACGACCGGCCGAGACTCAGAATGTTGGACTCCGATGATCTGCAGCCACCACCACGAACGACCACGGCCGCCGCCGCCGCCGGCAGCAATGGAACCACCGGCAGATTGTCGCAGTTGCAAATTTCAACCATGTGGCCATCTGGGTCGTGGAAGAAGAGTTGATCCACGTAAACTCCTCCTTCCTCCACCCTACTCTTCACGTACTCCACCTCCATCTCCTTCAACTTCTTCTCCGCCACCGCCATGCTCTCACACTGCCATGACATGCAAATGGAAATCAAACAAATATGTGTAGTTAAGGAAATTATGAAATATCATAAAGTTTTTAACCTTTCTGGCCAAAACATCTTTGGTACAAAACTAGCCTACTTGTTATACTCATGTTTTCACATTTATAACATGTAGTTCAATATATATTTGTACGAATACGAACCATCGACTATTATCGTTAGATTAAATGAATATTATGATTTGGATTAGAGAATTATGAATAGGCGTTCGCCCCATTAGGGTTAGGATATAGTATATCATGAACCAAATTCCGGTTCATTCATTGTATAAATGATAGAACTCGCGATAGGTGTACGATAAGGTAGAATACACCAGACTTACGCTAGATTGAACCACCTACGAATATTAATTATTCACATACACATTCGTCAAACGAAAATGAACCGAAAGGGTCGAAATTTGTTCAAATCTCATGCATCATGAATGTTCTACGTAAAATCAACTGTCAATATCAGATATTGTGATGGTTCAAACGCGGAACTTCTTAATTAATCAAAGACTCCGACATATCAAGAACCCAACTTGTATCAGTAACTCGAATCGAATCATTACCTGGAAAGAGATGTGATTGTCCTTGGGATTAATGCGGGTGATGCCTGCTGCAGGAACGTCCTCCTCCTCGAGGTCATCGCATTGCAGAAGATGGATCCCAATCCCATAATTCGACAGCCTGCAGCATGTTCATATGGCCATGCAAAATCTAACTTTAAACAACATACAAAATCATCAAGTTGCGGAAAGAACGAATAAAAAAAAATTAAAGGAATTAAGTTTGATCATTACCATGCACCGTCGAAATTGAAGGAGCCAGGGCGCCTGATGGGAAAGAATCCCAAAACGTTCTGGTAAAATTCCAGAGATCTCTCCAGCGATCTGCACGCCACCGAGATGTGATTCAACGACTTGAGCTGCAGAGGGTTGTTGCTGATGCTGCTCTTCTTCATTATCATTTTTTCTTTCTCTCGTCGATATCCCTTGCCTGTAACTCGATTGATTAATTTCTTGTATTTGATAATTGGTTTTCACAGAACAAGAAGAGATTAATGGCAATGGCATTCGGGATAGAGAAGGGATTAATTAATGGGTTTGAGAGCTTATATACAGGGGCGGAGCTACACATAGGCTCGAGGGGGCCCCGGCCCCCCCGAGAATTTCAGAACTTACGTATAAACTATATCGATATTTGAAAATTTCGTATAAACTGATAAGTTATAAAATAGTTTACTGTGCATTATTGTAACACGAAAGTAAACTAGCCTAGTGGCAGGGATCCTTCTATCTCATCCATCAGATTATGGGTTCGAAACTCAAAGGGAGCATATCTTAATTTTAGTTTTAATCTCACATTAGCTTAAATTTTAGTTTTAATCTGATTCTCAATTCTGTAATTTCAGTTTTAATCTCACATTAACTTTTATTAATCTCACATTAACTTTTATCTTATGGATTCTCAATTCTGTAATTTCAATATGGTTTCTTAACCCTTTTATTTTCAATATTAAGTTTTATATGGATTCAAATTGATGCTTTGATAATATTAAAAATTTATCATCTTTCAACTGCAACTGGTAAATCAATACTAATTTTAGAAGCACATAAATTAATGGAGTCATAAACAAAATTTATGGACACGACGTATTTACCTTTTTGAGTTTGTCTACACAAAATAAGTTGTAGTATTGATCTTATTTTGAATAACTCTAATCATCTAAAATGCTAGTTATAATAATATTAAAAATATTTTTACCTTATTTTTTATCGTATTTTCGAAATAGTAGAATGAAAAAAATCCGGCCCCCCGAACTTCGAATCCTAGCTCCGCCCCTGCTTATATATAATATATATGCAGGCCAATGCCGCCGCCGGTGAGAGGATTAGTGGAGTAGGATTATGGATAAAAATATATTTGATTGGATTTTCCCTACTATAACAAGAAGAAATATTCTCTGTGCTTGCCTGCCTCATCACCAGCTAGCGAATGCGAGATGGCTGGCTGGCTGGCCACAAAAAAATTTCAACCTTTGGTGATAGCGTTGAAGAGAAGAGACTTATACCTTCCGTTGCTTATATATTAGACGTGTTATAATAGGCGAAATAACGTGCAATAATAGGAAGAAAAGTATAATAGTGGGTCACTAGGATTATTAAATCGTGTTATGTTTAGTTACTAGAAAAAAAAATTAATATCAATTGTGGTCACTCGAATTACTAAAACATGTCACATTTAGTCACTCTGTCATTAGCCTCCCTCCAACTCCGGTCAGACGAATTACCTTTTTTTTATGAATGTCACTCGAATTACTGAAACATGTCACATTTAGTCACTATCTAACGGAGTTGGACGGAAACTAGCGGGAGAGTGACTAAATGTGACATGTTTCAGTAATTCGAGTGACCAAAATTTATATAAAATTTTCTAATAACTAAATATGACATGATTTAGTAATCTCAATAGCCAAATGTGGCATTTACCACCGTGTATGCATTCTCGTGTTTTTGCCCTTTTGGTATGCATTTTAAGATTTTTTCTGTGCGTTCTTTTATACTTTTGGTATACATTTTTGCTGATATTTTTTTTTAGGTATTTACAGATTTCTCGTATGCATTCAGAGATTTTTATTGTATGCATTCTAAGAATTCAGATAAGCATTATTCACGTGATTTTGGTGTGCATTCAAAGGTTTTTTATACACATCCAAAGGTGTCTAGTATTTATTGCTGAGAAATTTTACAATGCTATATAGTAGTGCTATAGGGTTTTACCTTTATGATATAACTTAAAATTGTACATTTACGTTATGATACAACTTCATATTGTACCTATACTTTTTGTACAAATTCTTTTATGGTACAACTTGAACTTGTACCTTTATGTGATGGTACAACTTCAAGTTGTAAAGTTGTACCATAACATAATGATACAAATTGTTTTATGGTACAACCTAAACTTATACATTTAATGTTATGGTACAACTTTAAGTTGTACATTAAAGCACCAATATTATATAGCATAGTAGAAGTGCTCTCCATTCCTATGCTTTGTGAAAACATATCGTACTAGTGGTTCAACAATAAGAATATTCTATCGATATGCAGGTTTTAGTGATTCGAAATGATTGAACCATAATTTCAATGTAACATATCTTACCACTAATTTTTTCGATATGCAGTTTAGCAATTCTTTAAAATTTGTTGCTCCACTATGCCATGTTAATATATGCCACTCACAAGCAAGCTACGAGGGAGAGGAGAAGGGGAATCAAAATCTTTTGTCAATTTTAAAAGCCTACGTTTTCCAACAGTTGCTTATAATTAATCGTTTTTCTCAAGAAGTATGGAAAACAAAGCATTAATTCATCCATATTTTCTTTCTTTAAGTTAAGTACGCAGCCAAACACGTTATAATCATCTGGATTATATTTGAGTACGTGGAAAGTCCCCTCCATTCCGTCCGTACCATACGTGCATGTGAAGGAAACTATAGCCCTGCATTTGTGGGCCTGATGGGGGTTACAGTTTGGGCCGTCGAGCACAAATTAAACCAGGCCGGATTAAATCCACCAAAATGCTGACGGCTGGACTCCAACTCCTCCAAAATTGCCGAGAAACCGTCTTTTTCCCCACTCAATCTTTCCCCGGAAAATCTCGTCAGAGAAAAATGGACGGAAATTTAGAAATCTCGATCGACAAGCTCCCGGTCAAGCGCCTGGAGGCCATCGAGGAAAATGGCGCCGAGCGCTTTCCGACGTACACGCCTTCCTCCTTCTTCCTCAACCTCGTTTTCACTCTACTATACACTCCAAAGCCTGGGAAGCCGAATACCCTTCCTGTTGACCTAATGCCTGTTCTTTCCTTCGACTTCTCTAGCTGACGATGAATTGGGAATTAGTGATGCCATTTTGAGTGGGCAGCTGATTGTATCTGTTTTTTTTTTTTTTTTTTGGTTGCAGTGATGTTGGGTACGACGAGAAGCGAGTTTCTCTGATTCGGAGGATAGATTTTGCGTGGGCGTTGGAGAGAGAGGAAGACGACGACGAGAGGAAGAAGAAGCAGAAGAAGAGTTCCAAGGAGAGCACCTCGGGGACGCAATGGCCATGGCAGGGGATGGTGGAGAACTTGCAGTTGGCTCACCAGGAGCTCTCTGTCATTATCGATCTCATCAACACTGTGACTCTCTTTCAATCTCTCATTTCCTCCTTAGTCAATTTTCCCTATTCATTATTCGTTTCTATAGTTATTCGTGGCTTTTGATGTTTATGGAACTTGGTGATAGAGAGTTTGGTAGTAATTGAGTGAATGGTGAACTTTTGGTTTATATTGAGAGAAGCAATGTGGATGAACAATGAGGTTTTGAATGCTTAATGGGGAACTATAAGAATGGGGTGAAGCTGAAGTCTGTGAATTTTCCTTTTGGTTTTTGTGTAGTTGGAAGCTAATGATGCTGTAACAGTTGCTAGTATGAGCAGACCAAAACCGTTAGCTGAGGAGCAGCTGGCTGACCATGCTGTTTCCACTGCAACCAAGCTACAATGCTACCGGGTACTTAACGGTTTCCATCTGACATTTCCCCCTAGTCTGTTCATAGCACCAGTTGCTGACGTTACAGTTCGTTTCGATTTCAGCAACTTGGCAAATACTTTAAGCAGTCTGCCAAAGCTTTGGATCTGCAAGTGGCCAGAGAAGCAAGATTTTATGGTGCTTTGATCAGGTGTGTGATATCTGCATCATGATTTTTACGTCATTGAGTTACTTAGATGACCATAGAGCATCCTGCTGGCGCAGATAATTAGCTCTTCTGTATAACTTATGAAGTATTTTTGTCAATTAAACTTGTTAGGTCTACAGTATCCTTGTAATTTTTTTATTTATAGGAATGTATGTGCATAGAAGATGTAGTACTGACAAGCTAACAGATTGCAGCAAAACTGGAAAGTTAAACGCCAGAGACTGGCTGCACTTGCCCCGGCCAATGAAGGGTTCACATTTGACCTGTACGACAACTCATTATACGACCCTACAGCTGTTCGACCGACATCTCTTTGTACCATTCGGATTGAACACGACCCAGCTGGCATGCTTGCCATAAATTTGCCTCCAAAGTCTCTTCATTCTCTTCACTTTGGGTTTCTAGGTTTAGACTCCATTAAAAGTCGTAGTAAGACAGCCAGTAAAATCAGAACCAATTCGTCAATTGAGCATATATCAAAAGGAACCGAGAAAGAATCTCTAGATGATAATGGGAGTGTGAAAGAAACACATTCCTTGCTCCGTGAAGTTCATCAAGCAATCTTTGACGAGCAGGTTGACTATCTCTGTTTCTCAATTGTGTTATGTGGTGATGATTCCCTTTAATTCTTATAGTCTTACATTATTCTTTGTTCTTTTGGTTTCAGGTATTTGATATAGTGAACCGTGAAGCAGTTAACCAATCTTTAGGAGTCAACATTACTGGAATCCGAGAAAACTATCTACAACTGAGCATTGGTCCAGGAACCTCTGTGTTTGTATCTGTTACTCCTTGTGACCAGGATGAATCAACAACTGTCGATGGTAGAATCCCCCAGGATTTGGAATCTGCAACCTTACCTCTGGATTCAGTGGAGGATGAAAACATTATGAAGCACTTGGGCTTTCCCAATTCTACTAGTTATGAAATATTCCTTCGCCAGATATTTCATGAGAATGTTCTCGTAAAAGCAAAGGAGAAACCCGTTTCTACAGGCACTCGCGTACCTACACCCCGAGTGAAGGATGGGCCCAGTCTTCTTGGTCACTTCTGCTTATCTCTGGCTCATAGAATACTTTCAAACAAAGTTCTTATGGAGCTAGAAAAAGTGGTACCTTTCTGGTCTTGTTGATAGTTTCATCCTACTTATTGATGTCCTAAACAGGCTGTGCTCTTTTCTGAAAAAAATTCATCTTCTGTTGCCGCCAGGTTTGCAGA